TATGCACTGAAATCTCGAAATGGTTATTCTTTCATTATAATTGCAATTTTGATTCCGATGTGTAGCTGATATAAATAAATCGATTACACTATTGATCCCTGTTAACCTGGCAATCTACTACCATCTGCGGGAGGATTGCTCTGAACGGATTTCAAGTCTGGATTTTACTGTATTGGCGAATGAAGATACATGGTTTGTTTTCAGTCTTTATATTTTCCATTTAAAAAAAATAAAAAAACCCCTAGCTAGGTTGGGTTCTGAATTAACATGCTGGTTTAATAATACTTTCACATCCAATTCGATTCCGACGAGGTTAGGGACCATGAGATGGCTCTTAGATGAATTTAGATGTTCTGGCTCGCGAGGTTTAGCAAAACCCACTTCCATGGGAAGCCGTTGTGTTTTTTCATAGTCGAAGAAGGACGAGTGGTCTCTTTGTTTGATAATGGGAGTAAAGATTCCTCAGGGGAGAGGCGGGGTGTGGAATCTCAGATTCCCACCAAAATGGGATTTCTCTCTCTGTGCCTGGAAGGGCCCAATCATGCTCTTCTTTGAAGGCTAGGGCTCCAAGTGTCTTGCCTTCGTGCCTTTCACGATTCTTGCTTTGTCTCTAGGTTGACCAGCCGAAGGAGAGGACTCCAGCTTCAACCTTGAAACAATTAGAAAAATCGCTTTGACTTGTTGTTTTCCACGTCTTGATGGCTTGCATGTCCCCGAAAGGGTTGAAAATGGCCCAGTCTTGGCTTCAACCTTGATAAATCAGCCATGCTTAAAACAGAACAAATTCCAAGGAAAATGCTGACAAGCAAGAAAGACGAGACCCCCACTAAGATCAAACAACTGGGAAACCACTTGCTCTCCCTATACAAATCACCCTCTCCCTCTCTCTCTCTCTCTATTCAAAACATTTGCTTAATGGAATATCATCAGTTCCAAAAGCAGCCTAGAGGGGTCTCACCTAGCAAACCAAGCAAATTCAAGGAGAGAGGCTTGAGCAACAACTCCAAAAACAAGTTCGTTGGAGTTAGACAAAGGCCTTCAGGGAAATGGATTGCAGAGATCAAAGACACTACTCAGAAGATCAGAATGTGGCTTGGGACCTTTGAGACAGCTGAGGAAGCTGCTCGAGCTTATGATGAAGCTGCCTGTCTTCTTCGTGGCTCGAATACTCGAACCAACTTCAACACTCATGTTTCTTCCAACTCACCTATTTCTACGAAAATTAGAAACCTTCTCAATCACAAAAGGAGTTTGAAACAAAACTCTTCCACAACTCCCCCGCGAAATCTACTATTAGAGCCAGCACTATAGTTAGTACCACGAGTGCTTTCAGTAGTAGCGTTGATAGTTTTCCATCATCTATTGCTAGCCATGCTAGTTATTTCAATGGCATCAACCAAGAAAACCAAATGTTTGATAATGCTTATAGACCAGACTTGAGTGGCTGCTTTGGAGGGCTTGAACCGGTCACTTCTCAGTTCCATCCCTCGTGCTCATTCCCATCTGGGTTTGATCCTCATATTCCATATATTCAAGAAAGAATGGAGCTCCCAAGGGATGTTGATTTGTTGTCTGATGCATCATCCTGCGTAGAATTAGCCGAATTCGAACGCATGAGGGTGGAAAGGCAGATATCAGCATCATTACATGACATGAATGGAGTAAATGAGTACTTTGAGAATGCTAATGATTCAAGTGAGGCTCTCTGGGATCTCCCTACGCTCTGTCAGTTGTTCTGTCCTAGTTAATTCTCTCGATTTTTTTTTTTAAATTTGATGCAAGATTCGAGAAAGATATAGACAGCAGCTGTGTTTTGATATCATCTACTATATGAATTTGATTCATTCGTAGATGAATGAATTCTTGAGATTCTGCTTTTAATGATGTAAGGCATGAACACAGTTATTCATACAAGTAATGTTTCACACTTCTTTCCCATGTTTTATGCCATCTTCCCAATTCTCCCAAAATATATTTGACGAGCGCTTATTCAATGTTTCTAGAATATCTCCTTTATAAAATCTAGTCCAATTTATGGAAAACTATTATAACTTAATTTTAATGGATACGAGAGATCATGTATAGAGTTTTCATTCATTCATATAATCCAAGATATAGGCAATATTAGATTTTAGATAGTAATTACTACATTGAGGGTCAATCATATTATATATATATTGGTGATGTTAATATGCTTTTTAGTAGAATAAAAAAATTAAATTATATGAAGATTGACTTGATATTATCTAATTGATTTTGTAGGTTCACAAATAATTTGAATAACCAATAAAAATATAGTTTGATTTAAAAAATTAAGAGGACATCTTTTTTTTTAATATTAAAATAACAATATATTAGATTAATTAATATCAACTCAAGTTAATCACTAAATTCATTATCTAAGTGATGAAATCTTGACAACTCTATAAAAAATAAATAAAAAAATTATTAAACTTAATTATTAATTAACTCAATGCTAAAGAATAAAATTAAAAATATTTAAACTAAAAAAAGTAGTCAAGTCAACCAGGACTAATCTCATATAGAGAAAATAAAAATAAATTATGAAGTTTAATTTTCAATCAATTCAATATTAAATGATGAATTTAAAAAAAATATAAAAAATCACTAAAATCAATAGACCAAAATCGCAACGCGGATCATAAGATTGGAATAACATTATAAAATAAAAACTAAAATAAATTATGAAGCCTAATTTTCAATCAACACAATATTGAATGATAAAAATAAAAAACAATATGATAGAAAAGGGATAAAACAATAATCTGAGTTAATATATCAAACTCAAATAAGGAGACTGAGATAAATCTATAAAAAGCAAATAAAAAAAATTATAAAGTTTAATTATCAATTAACTCAATATTGAAGGATGAAATTAAAAAAAACTTTTAATTAAAAAAGGATAAAAAAAGTCATCTTATCTAACTCGTAAAACTTGTGACCTAGTTTATAAAACTGTGATAACTCATAAAAAAATCAAAAAATAATTATGAAAATCAATTTCAATCAACTTAATATTAAAAAATAAAATAACAAAATAACCTAAATCGATACGGTTAACCAAAAAAATCCATTACCATTGTAACTCTAATAAATTTAATGTTAAAACTTAAAAAAAAAATTAAAAAAAAATCTCAAACTTTTTAAGGACTAAAGTGATAGTATATGTTATGTTATTAAAAATCATTTTTAAAATTTTATCAAGTAATTTAATCGGAACATGAACAATAGATCATTAATTCATATCCTATATATCAATCCCATTATTTTTAATTAAATTAAAAATTCTTACACTAAATAGGAGTCAACCTATGAAAGTTACAAGTATTAACAAAATTTTAAATAGAAAAATTAGTGTATGTTAGATGTGATTTACTGTAGATTATAATAGTAAAATTATATTTCTATCCCCAAGTGAAAAACTATTTGAAATGGCCTACATGGATATATTGATATTTTTATAAGATTTATTTTGTCATTTTATAATTATCAAACGTCATCTTTATTCTTTCATAAACTTTTTATAAAGTAGATTTATTTTAGTACCTTTAAAAGCAAAATTTAACTGAACGACAGGGTATTCTTGATTTTTTACTTTTTTTTAAACAATACAATGATTCTATCACCATTGAAATAACAATTTTCAAAGCCTTTTTTGTAGCGGCAAAATCATTATTTAATAAGACTTTGTTAACAGTATTTATTTGGTCTTTGAGCTGATTGTCTTTTAATATAGAAAAACAAAAAGTTAGTGCAGACATGTCAGATAATGTCAACCACTTTGTTATCTTTAGACGACACATGTGTATTATTATGATGGTGTAAAAAATTATTTTGTCTGTTATTTAATGTGTCTCAACATTCTTTTTCTTTTTAGGTAATGCATATAAGATAAGGATGTCTAATTTAGTGTTGATTTATTCTTTTTTTTCTTTATTTTTCTTTTATATGTCTTGATTTTCACACCGCGTTTTATATGGAAAAATCACTTTGAATTATAAATGGTTTTTTTTCTTGAAGTTTTTCATCTCTCAAATTTGGCTCCACTTTTGATTTTTCTTTTGGATGACTTATAGATTTTATTTGTTTCTTGTAATTTCATTCTTATTTTTTTTTATTTTCATATTTGGTCTTGATTTTTTTATTGTTTTTTTTTTAATTTTATCATTCAAAATTAAAATGGTTAGAGATTTAATTTCTTATTTTAGCTCAAGTTTGAGACTCAATGAATTGTGATTTTTAAAAGTTAACTCTGATTTAAAGAATGTTCCTGAATTTGTTTGTTTTTTCATGTTAAATTGAGATTGTTATTTTATATATATAATCAAATTTATTAAACTCAATCTACAGCATCTCAAATCTTTTTTACTTATTTAATAATCGTAGCACTGTCTTGAATATTTTCCGTTCGAGGTTGAAAAATTCATCCCGCTCTAAGGTGGTGTTGCGTTAGCCAGTACTATAAATTTACTGAAGCTATTTTTTCTTCCTTCTAATATTTGTTTCACTTTTTACATTTAATATTTGTTTCGTAGTAATTGAATTTTCTATATTGTTATTTTATCATTATCTCATTCCCACATTAATTGTTCTGAGTAAGTTAATCTAGTGAATCACTATCTCTGTACGTTGAAAAACATATTCCACGTAAATTGTCACCATGAAAAATGTTAAACGGGTATGAATTAAAAAATGCTTGTGAAAAACTACATTTTGGAGGCAACCATTACTAAGATAACATGTCTCGAATAGGAGTTTTTCTAAGCCGAATAAGCAAAATTTATTCACTCCACAAGCAACAGGGAGCAGAGCAGGGCATTCGGCGAGCACAGAGGGCTGGTACATTCATACCCTTCGCTTTCAAAAGGGGTGTAGCAGCAGGCACGGACACTAGGAAAGTACCTAGGACTTTATCGAATGCCAATCTGCTTGACAAGAGGCAGCATGAAATGAAAGGAGCTCGCAGAAATATGAGAAGCAAAACGCAGAAATGACGGATAACTTCATTCTGAAATGTCGAACTCTTTCAACCCAAAAAAAATGTCGAACTCGAAACCATGAAAACACATTAAATAAGAAATATTTTTAACTGTTTTACTGAAGGATAGCGGTGCCACAAATCACAAACATAACAGCTGCGAAGCAAGAAGGGGAGGGTTGGTGGCCAAACCCTCACGGTCCTTCTCGATTGCTGGTGGTAATAACTTACTCGTAATCTTCATTGTCTTCTTCATCATCTACACCTTCAGCACCAACTTCCTCGTAATCCTTCTCAAGGGCAGCCAAATCTTCACGAGCTTCTGAGAATTCCCCCTCTTCCATGCCTTCACCAACATACCAGTGTACAAATGCCCTCTTGGAGTACATGAGATCAAATTTGTGGTCAATGCGAGAGAACACCTCAGCCACAGCTGTGTTGTTGCTGATCATGCAAACAGCACGCTGAACCTTGGCGAGATCACCCCCAGGTACTACAGTAGGTGGCTGATAGTTGATACCACATTTGAAGCCAGTTGGACACCTGCGGATTTCAAGTAAAACCACATTTCGGATTAATGAAAAGTCGACCAATGGGAGAATGCCAGTTTAATGTTTCAAACTATCAGAGCATCAAGAAAACAAAAACTGAGAAGTGGGAAATTCGAGGTTCAGTGAAAATAATGTCAAGAATTGTTTTCAGTTATAGAAACAGTTACTCGAAGATGAGATGAATTAGTGATGCTCTCGTATTTTTAACATGACCTTTCATTAGTTTTCAGTTGTTTGTTTTTTCTTACCAGTCAACAAACTGAACAGTCCTTTTGGTTTTGATAGTTGCCACAGCAGCGTTGACATCCTTTGGAACAACATCTCCTCGGTACATCAAACAACAGGCCATGTATTTCCCATGCCTAGGATCACACTTAGCCATCATGCTTGCAGGCTCAAAGACAGCATTTGTGATCTCTGGAACTGACAACTGCTCATGGTATGCCTTTTCCGCTGATATGACAGGGGCATATGAAGAAAGCATGAAATGAATACGGGGATAAGGAACAAGGTTGGTCTGGAACTCTGTAATGTCCACGTTTATGGCTCCATCAAACCTCAACGAAGTTGTCAAGGACGATATGATTTGAGATATCAATCGGTTCAAATTTGTGTATGTGGGTCTTTCAATATCCAAGGATCTTCGGCAAATGTCATATATAGCTTCATTATCCAAAAGCACTGTCACGTCTGTGTGCTCAAGAAGGGCATGAGTAGAGAGTACACTGTTGTAAGGCTCCACAACAGCCGTAGAAACCTGCAACCAAAGAGAAACCCGTTAAAACTGAGTTCCCTAAGAGCAACTTGTTTTACCTACCTGAATTCAAATTTGTAATTGTTCTAACACTTGCACACTTACAATGCAGGCAACATATTAATTAACCACAAAAAAGTTCTCGACGTGACAAATAACAAAAGGGTGTTGCACGCACTATGGGATAACACCCATGATAATTAAGTTATTTTGGCCCGAAATTATATGATGCCCTTAAAATATGAACATGCAACCCTTATTAGAATCGTTCTTCCTTCAGCATTGCCTCATAGTGTCCGGGAACAAGGAAGCCAGGGTTTACATTATTTACAAGTATGTACCTGAGGAGAAGGATAAATGGTGAATCCAAGCTTTGACTTCTTCCCGTAATCAACAGACAAGCGTTCTAACAGCAACGACCCCAAACCAGAACCTGTTCCACCACCAACAGCACTAAACACTAAAAACCCTTGTAAGCCAGTGCAGTTATCAGCCAACTTCCTCACTCGATCAAGGCAGAGATCCACAATTTCCTTCCCAACTACAAAGCACAACTAAATCAGTTTAATCCAACAACAATTTAAAAGGCAAAACAGTTAACCAGCAACAATTTCCTTTACCTGTATAGTGTCCCCTAGCAAAATTATTAGCAGCATCTTCCTTTCCAGAAATAAGCTGTTCAGGGTGGAAAAGTTGCCGATAAGTTCCAGTCCTAACTTCATCAATAACAGTTGGTTCTAAGTCGAGGAAAATAGCTCTAGGCACATGTTTTCCAGAACCAGTCTCACTGAAGAAAGTATTGAATGCATCGTGTGCACCACCCACTGAAGCGTCACTACAAAAAGATATTACCTTTTTTCGGTCAGCAACCGCACCATGAATCCAATCAAAATCACAAACAACGCAAAAACAAACACAATACCATGACTACAACTTTGGATGTCAAAAGATTCACCGATTTAACAAAAATACACTAGCTTTCAGTGAATCTCTCTTGAAATGCCAAGTCCTTACTGATCTTGGAAAAAAAATTATGGTTTTTCTACAGTTGATATGTTCGAATAACGTAAAATCAAAATCAATGAAGACCAAACATGAAATTATTCTTAAAAAAAAATAAGAAGAAGAAAAATAAGATGCTTGATTTGGTGATTTCAACACTTAAAATTATACAAGAGTTCAAGAACAAAACGATCTTGATCCCATCAAAACTCATGCTTCAATACATGAGTACAAAAAGCAAACATATATAAGAACAAAAAACCAATAATCCTATCAACATAAACATAAAAAAACAGTAAAAGGTAAAAGAAAACAGAAACAAGTATAGGACAGTAAAGAAAGAAAGAAAGAACCACTTGGCTGGTTGATCATCAAACACTAAAAAGCTTAAAACTTGATGAACAAAATTGAAAACCCAGAAAGAAAAAAAAAGACACCTAGGCATCACTCCATCTGGTTGGATGCCATGCTCAAGACAGTAAAGCTCCCAACAAGCATTGCCTACTTGAATCCCTGCTTGCCCTATGTGTATGCTAATTATTTCTCTCATCTTCTTTCCTTCACTCTAAACACTCAAATTCTCTCTCTTTCTCTCTGTTCAGACACGCAAAAACTCTCTCTCTCTCTCTCTTTGTTTCTTCGACGTTGTTGTTATAGATCGAAAAACTTAGAAGGCAGGCTGCAAATGATGAAAAAAGATTTTTATTAGGTTAGTATCTCTATGCAGAGTTGCTTTTTTGGGTAAACTATACTTCGACCCCTATAGATTCCGAAACATTTCATTCCGTTTTTAATTTTTTAATTAGTCCATTGGATGTCGTTTAATTACTGTTCGCATAAATTATTAAGATAGCCTTTCTTTATATTTCAAAATAATAAAAATTTGCTTTCAAATTATTCAAATTATACTTTTAATCATTATAAATTTTTAAATATTTTATTCTTCATCATGCATTGTTATAAGAAAAAAAAAGATGGTCTAAACAATTTGTTCATCATGTTTTAAAATAATAAAAATTCACAATAAAAATATCTTATATGTAAATTTATTTTATATTTTTGTCTCCCCATCTAAATATATAAGGAAATAATGGATATTCCTTTGGTTTCCTCCACTAAGAGATCATGTTAATTTGTTTTTTAAAAATTAATTTTTTTATACATTTTAGATTTTTTTAATGCATTGATATTAAAAATAATTTTTTTAAAAAAAATAACTACAACCATATTTTTAAATAAATTGAATAGTTAGAAACTAAAATAGACTTTTTAGAAGCTACAGTTAACGGTGGAGAATTTAAATGGGATGAAAGTGAAAATACTTTTAATTCACGATACCAAAATATATTTCTTCCACTTTCCTTCTTTGATATTTTATTTTTTAAATGGGGAAGATGACTTGAGGTAGAAACAAATGAAATTTGATAAAATATTTGAAATCCGATTAAAGAAAGAAAAAAAGGGGCCACGCCATTTGGCGCCAGCCATGCTTGGGACCCCCTCCGACCTTGCCGGCCTACCCATGACGGCCCATTTGACCTAGAATTCTGTTGGGATTAAGGGACAAAAATGGGAGGCAGGGGAAGTTTGTTAGGGTAAAATTGGGCATGGGAGAAAAATGGAGGACTGTCTGGGAGGTGGGTGGCGTGCTCATTTCAAGAGATCATGATCTTGTTTGTTGCTTCTGCTTGCTTTTAGGATTTTTTTATGGTTTCCCTCTTCTGTATCTTACTCCACAACGATTTATCTTGTATTTTAATTTTTGAATCTTCCACTACAAGACTTGTGTGGTATCCACCATCTCACAACCGAAAGAACGTTGCTAGGTTTCTAATTGCATATATTCTTAGGATCTTAATTATATGTTTGTTCTTGGTTTTAATGTTTCCGGTATTTTCTCTTACTTTTTTTTATTATGATAAAAATAGATCTGTTCACAATTAATTTTTTTATTTGTTAGTATCATATGATAAATATAAAAGGAAATAAAATATTTTTGATTGAAAATATAAAATAAATTTGTTTTTATGATAATTTTTAAGTAAATTATTATGCTCTCAATGAAAAATATAAAATCTTCATCCCATCAATATTAAAACAACAATTAAACACTATCAAAATAGGTATCAAGATACTAATGAAATCTTATATTTCTAACCCCCTTTAGCTTTTAAATTTGAAGATAAAATATTTATATCAAGAATAAATCAATTTATTAACCAGCCAAACCTCAAAATCCTATACTATTGGTTATTAGTGTTTTTGTAATTAGTACTTCAAGAGAGTATCAGTAAGACCAGTGTAAGACTGTGATGTATGTTAATTATCCAAACTACCATACCCTTAATCTTGATTCCTTCACGAGTAATTAATTAGGCGATAGAATAAGTGAGGAATTAAAGGGATACGGTGACATTTCATAAATTATGCCTTCCAGATCATTTTCTTGTAGTAAATTAATTTGTTACGCAAAGAATGTATGGTAGATTCATCTATTTCCTTACTCATCCGGATGCTATTATAGAAAACACAAGCAGGCTTGCTTCGCGATACATCATCAGCCGATAATAACAGCAGCTACATTGTCTCATAAGGTTATTGCAGCAGCCATGATTATGATCATGGTCACCTGCAAATCTTGAGATGAAGCTTCGAAATCAATAGCTAGCTTTGGTTTCTTGTTGGGGGTCGGGCCAATAGAGCTGGCTAAAGTTACAAGTAGCAAAACAATATGCCGTCTAAAGCACAAGGAGAAACACCCTTTGTCTACATCTTTTTCAATGAATCTGGCAAATGTAAAGACAAAAGGTTCTTCTTCTTGCTGGGGTGTTGCTATTTAACAATTTTTGTATTCTATTTTAAGATGAAGGGTTATCATTATTAAAAGATTATAATGATAATTGCATCAATTATTAATAAAATAGTATATCTCATATATTGTCATTGTTAATGTCATAATTTATGGCCAATTTATTTTACTATTGATGTTTATAAATAAAAGTATAAGTTAAAAAGCAAAATAAAAAAAAAAACGAGAGTGAAGAGAAGAGAAAGTAAAGGGCTGCCATTGGTAATAGTTGTAAGGCCAACAATGAGAGATAAGAGTTTATAACTCTTTCTTTATCTATCTTTAATAGTATTGGCTATTCATACCTAGATATAGGCGGTTTGCCAAACAAGGTAAAATATTGTGTGTTGTTGTGTTTAAGTCTCCAATGAGCAATTATTAGTATCACCGGTCCGAATCTCTAAAAATTGGTATTAGAGCTTATGATTTAAAGTGGTGTTTGATTTTTATTCAAAAAAAAAGTTGTCAAAATTGTATTTTGACCATTTCATTATATAGAGGAGGAGGAGACGAGCACACTGGTAAAAACAATGCAAATTTTGGATGTTAGACGTGGTTGCATATACCTACACGCGTTAGTGAGGTGTTTGGCCACATGTACCAACGCGTGCCACATGTCTTCTTCACCTGAATGGGCTTACTGAACCTGAATACCAAATGACTCGATCCATATGGCTAACTTAGATGGAGGATGATGTCATCGTGATGTAAACATGACGTCATCATGCATAATTGACATGTCATGTCATAAGCCCAGCCGATGTTAGCATAGTGGGACCTGTATACCATGTCATCAGCCATAAGCCCAGCCGAGTCGCGAGCCGAGGGATAGGATCCAGTGTAGTGGATTCTACATGTAACCGAATCTAAGATTGAATCTCAATTGTTTATTAGGTCTGAATTGTTTTGATCAAATCTTAGTCATCTTAAATGCAATTTGGACGATATCAAACTTGTTTGTAGCTAATTTCATCGTTCTTAATGTAATGGTACAATCCGATAATTGAGATTTAGACCACAAGTGATTGTTTTGAATTATTAAAAAAAGAGTGTTCGATCATGAGGCATCTAAAGATCATCATAGTGGTTGATGAAGATAAAGAAGAAGAAATCGTATATGTTTGCTCAATTACTAAACAAAAATTACATTAATAATTTAAAATTTACAAAATAAACACTAGAACTCCAGGAATTACAGAGGAACACTTTCGGAACTACCTGAACAGTCCTAGAACAGTAGCGACACGTCCCCTCCACGCGCTGTAACGAGAAACTCTATAGGACAGGGTGATCTGGAACGACTCCCTCCCCTCTTCACGTTCCTCCTAGCGATAAGAATAACCATCACTTATAAAAGGAGAAAAAAACACACAAACGACATTTGATTTTATTTCTTTCTTTTTAGATATGTTTCAGTCTTTTTTTAGATCTGCTTCCCTGTAGATCCTTCTCTAGTTTCCATCTTCTCCTCTACTTCGGGCATTGTCAGTAAGGAGGAGGTATGAGATTTGGTTGCTGGTCTGCAGGTGACGCTGCAATGTTCGGGCTGCTGCTGGAAGCTGTTGGGTCTATGGGAATTGTCGGAGGAAGAAGGTGAAGAGTGTGGATTCGGTGTTGCTATGTGTTGGCTGCTGGCTCATTGGCGAGGACGACATTATTGTTGGCTGGCTTGGTTTCTATGAGTGGAAAGACCGGCTGAGAAGGAAAAAAGATTGTCGAGAGGGCTGTTCGGTCTGTCTTGGCTAAGAGGGAGAGCAAGAACTGGAGAAGAAGGGAAGGTCAGGCGGTGTGGAGTCTTGGGGTGGCTGAGAGAGGAGAGGGATGGTGGGTGTTGGTCAACGACTAGAGGAGAGGAAGAAGAAAAAAAAATCGGATGGGGCGGGAGGTGGCTGCTTTGGTTTTAGTTGGAGAAGGAATCGACCGCTTGGGTAAGAGTTTTTCAATAAGGATGGGAGGAGATCAGTTGTGGCTGGTTGAGGGAGACGAGATTACGGTTTTCCTCTTTTTTTTTGTGTTGCCTCCTTCAAATTGCAAGATTGCCCCCTTTTAATGTTTCTAATTGCTCCCTATTTTTTTTTGTATGTTTAAGGCTACTATATATAGGTAAAATATTGTTTAGGCCTTAAAATTGATTCCTCAACTTTTTTTTTTTTATAAAATTTTTTTTTCTTGTTTTTTTGGATTTTTCTTATCAACATCGACTCGAATGAGAAAAATTGATGATTTTAAAATATAACACATTAAAAGTCGAACACGTTCCAAATATTTTTAAAAATTTAAATTCTTTTGAAACGATGCTAAAAACACTAAAAATGATGCAAATATATTAAAAAACCTATTTTTGGATTTTTGTTCTTTTTTTGTTATTTTTATATTTTTCAATAATTTTATCAAAACATGGATAAAAAATTGAATAACAACAAAGCTCATAGTAGAGACTATGGAAAAATTATACAACAAGAAGTCTCTTGTGTTTTTGATGAAGACAGCAGGCAAAGACCTTTCTAATGCATGTAAGGATAAAAAAAGAACTGTTGTGAAGGCACCTAATTGAGATGGTGCAAACACTTGTGAAAAAAGGCAATCGTCTATGATGAAAGGTAAAGACATTAAAGAGAGTTGGTGTGAAAGGAGCTATCAAGTAGAAAGACGTAGAAACTCCAAACATAGAAATCGAGATAGAGGATTGCAAGGAGTGTACCACAACTCTCTCTTTCTATGTGATTAGTGGCAGTAATCTCTCCTAAGTTTATATGGATGTAAAAAATCTTAGAGTCACTTTGAAACATCTCAGTTGAAGGAGGATGCAACCACTTATGAAAGGTAAAGACACCTTGG